GTAGGGATGAGGGTGCCGCCTTCCAAGTCCCACCTGGCTGTAGGAGTAGAGTTTGATGGTTACGGACAGGACCACTAAGCATATATCCATGGAATATCTGTTGTGAAAGAGTGTGGCCAAGACAGTGGTCTGGCATGCTAGAGACCTGGGTTTTAGTTCCTTCTTTGACAGAAATTATCTTAGTCATAACATGGAGCAAGGATGGTTGCTTGTGAGGAGGGGAACATGGCATCTTGCTCATAACAAGGACTGCGAACATAAAAACTGGCTTTTACTGGGTCAGGTCATAGGTCCATCTTGCCCAGAGCCTCTGTCACAGGGACTCCCGCTGACATGTGAGAAGTCCTGTGTCACAGTGGCACAGGGTGGATGCTGAAAAGGAGAGCCAACAGAAAGTATACAGAAATTGAAACATGGTTGAAGATCATGTGACTTGAGCTGCAACCCTCCTAGCATCAAGCTCTAGCCATTTTCCGGGCTGCTACAGGCTACTCTGCACCTTCCCACAACAGTTAGGCAGTGGCAAAGGGGGGAGCAAGTGGGAGACCAGCCTGGGAATGGAAGTGGGAGCAACTGTTGGCAAGCATTGGTTGGAGGAAGGCAGTAGCTGGCAGGTCTTATATCAAGCACATCTTAGCACAGCCCATAAGAAATAAACAATCCATGCTTTATTTTGGCCTTGAGTTGATTAAACAATGAGGTAAAACCCAATCCAGGGCTAGTGCCTGCTCAAGAAGCTCCCGCCCTTTGCTTGGGTTTCTGGAGTAATTGTGGAAGCAGCAGGAGGGTGCTCCAGAAACTGGAGGGGTGGGGGTGGGTGGGAAGCCACTGGGCATCCAAACCAATCAGTCTGTATCCAAGCTCCTCTCCCCAGTGTCTGCGTCCCCCTCATGGCTCCCAGCTTGGAGCAGAACTTTTCTCATGGGCTTTTCCATTCGGGTTTGGAAACTCAGTTCTCCCCAGTCTCTCCTTCCTCTGCTCAGGTTCTGGAAGGTGTTGGGAGCTCTTAGCAGCAAAGGTGCTGGCCCTTTAAGAAGTCCTGCTGGCCTGAGTGTCTTGAGACAATAGCCATTATCACTTTAGCTTTGGAAGTGACCCCTGAATCTGCACTCCTTTCATCTGGGATGCAAGAGCACTTGAGGATGGACTATTTCCTGGTGGGGGAGGGGAGGAGCTGAGACCCCTTCACACAAGCCACTCACTCCAGATGGTTCACTCCAGATCTGAAACCAGTTCCAGTCTGAATGTGGCACACAGCTGGGAAAGTGGAGCCTGCTGCGCTTCCTGCTGCAGGATTTAAATGTCCAGGAAACTGCCTTGCAGGGCGAGCAAGGCAGACTGCAGTCGCAGCCCAGGAGTAGCTGGTGTGAGCTCCAGGGCTCTGCCCAACAAGCGAGGTGAGTCCAGGGGGAGTTGCCTCCACACATTTCCATCTGCTTTCACGAGGGGAATCTTAATTCCAAGCCTGGAAACGCACGTGTGAGCTGAGCTGCTGCAGGAGGCTCCAGGCTTGGGGCGCGGGAAGCTGTGCAAGCACCTCTGGCCCGGCACAGCTGCAGGGTGGGTCCAGGGGGCTGCAGCTGCTAGCAGTGAAGTGCCTGCCTCACCCACTCCCCCTCCTTGAGCCCTTTCCCTTGAGACGACCCCCCAGCCCTGGAAGGGGAGCCTGCAAGCTGTGTGTGGACAGGACCTGCTCCCTTCCCCTACGATGGTGCCTTCCAAGCCACCTGGGGAAGGAGGGGGATGAGCCTTTTGTGTTGCCTTTCCATGTGGACTTTGCTCCGGGACACGCTGATCCAGAAAAATGCCTTTTCTTTAAAGGACAATAAACCCAGCTCCCCCCTGCCCTGCCACAAGTTTCTCCTCCTTTACCCACCCCTCCCCCCAGTGCCTTCTTGTCCCTTTGAAAGGCTTGTGCCTCTGAAGAGAGAGAATAGGCCTGCACTCTGTCTGCCTCGTCCTCTGAAACCCCTCTTGCAGCAGAGAAGTCCTGTGGGATTGCCTCCAGGGCCGGGGGAGGCAGTGGGAGCACAGGCCTGGTCCCAGAGCTGTGCTGGCACTCTGCAAAATGCAGGGCAGGAATGGGGAACCTCCCTGCTAAGCCCCGGGTCCAGTTCAGCTTTATGCGGTGAAAGGCAGCTGGGGTACAGAGCCTTCCCTCTGCTCCCAGGCTGCCCCCCAGCATGCATGGGCTTGGGGAGGGTTGTAACATCTTGCTGACCCTGGAGAGGTTGCACCAACTAGGGGGAGCTTAAGCCAACCTCTAAGCCTTTTGCTCTTTCATTTGCAAAGTTCCTCCCAGCCATGGGTCCAGTTGCTGTCCTCTTCTCCTGAGGCTGCTGCTTGGAGTTCACTCCAGGCTCACAGCTCCATGTAGTTCTGCTGCAGCTCTTGGTTCCCCCATAGGCAGCCCAGGTCCCAGCCCCTGGACTCCAAATACAGCTTCAAACGGTTAACCTGCTGCTTAATGAGCTAAGGACTCTTCTCTCCCCTTAATTGAGTTTAGCCTATTTCTAAGGGCAGCCTCTTTGTCTAGTATTAGACTTGAGTCAGCTTCACGGGGTTGCTGCTGAAGGGGCTTGCAGCAGTAGAGGTGTTTGTGGACCCAAGACAAATGGGGGAGCTCACACTTCTTGGAGATGTTGTGCAGGCTACCTGCACACTTGGAGTTTCTCTGCTCTGGAAACATTTATCTCTCTTTCCATAGAGCTTAAAGCAGCTGACTTCTCCATTTCTTCCAGACAAGGTGTAAGTCTGGCATAATTCAGGACTAACAGATTCCATTGCCAGGCTAAATGTTCTAGTGCAACTGTGTTTTGGGATACAGTGCAATTGTCTTTGGTCATATTTTTATAACTAACTTGGTCCAACTGGTGTAGATGCATCTATTCCAATATGGAGGTGCATGAAGGTACACCAGGCAGGCAAGGTTCTTTGGGTAGATGTGATTATCTTTTTATTAGACCAGCTGAGTAGCTGGAAAAACATTATTTGCAAGCTTTTGGGCACAGTCTTCTTCAGGCATAGGGAGTCTTTGTTGATCTGAGATTCCAAGGAATGAAAGAAGCTAAAAGTGTGACAGCATGTCAGTGTGAATGTAAATAAGTGGAAATTAGGAAAACAAAAGATAGAAAAGGGAAGGGGGGAGGTATATTATAACTATATTATAAAGGTATAGGGGGAAAAAGGTAAAAGCATAACTTGTTTTGCTTCCCAGACTGGGATAAATTCTACTGGTGTGCATAGCTGCTGGGGCTCATCCAGGGCTTTAACTAACTAACAAAAATGGCAAAACTTTCTAGTCTGCAAAAAGTGAAAGCCTAGCCCTTACTTAGGTTAAGGGTGCTCAACCCCTAGCCTATGAGCCAGAAATGGTCCTTAGAGCTATGTCATCCCACCCATGGGGTTCCCCAGGGGCCTGGAAATTTGGCTGAGGTAGCAATTCATACGAACACCAGTCCCCCCCACTGTCAAATTTCCAAGCCCCATGCAGTAGGATCAAGCCCATGGATTGGATCCAGCCAGTGGGCTGACCTGACACTGCCCTTCTGCCCATGAGGCCAAAAGATTGGGAACCACTGGGCTAGAGCCACTTTTTTCTTTAAAATGAAATGTTGGATTCCAATGATGTTGCACAAGGCTGGAGAGTTGAGGTGCATACTTGTGGGGTCTGTGCTTTAATCTAGGCCTGGGTAGAGTAGCAAAAATGCCCCTATTCCCTCTCAGCCACAGTATCCAGGAGGCTTTAGGAAAGGACGGAGCAACAGGTCTCTGTGCATTACATCAGCAGGAAGGAGTTGCTTGCTCCCATCTGAGAATGACCCTAACAGTGTTCCTGCCTTGGGACTGGAGGCCTCCACACTGGCAGTATTCATTGGAAGGACCCTTATGCCAGAGCCAGAGAGTGAAGATGACTTGTGCCCTAGATTTTTTTTTTTAAAATATTGCCCCTCCCATCCCACCCCTTTTGCCTCTGGCAAGTGCTTCTGCACTTAGTGGTGAGTGACACCTGGTGGCTGAATGGGAAACGATAACAACAGTGATCCTCTCATTGCACTAGCACAGGGGTTCTCAAATTTGCCATACCGTGTGTGACCCTGAGTGCTGGATGGTGGGGGATGGGGAGCTTGCATGTGGCTGCCGCTGCCATCCACCACCGTGCACCGCTGCTGCTTCCCTGCACCACCATGCGTACCCCTTGGGAAGTTTGTGGCCCCATTTTAAGTTGCTCATGACCCTGGGGGTCGTGACTCTCAGTTTGAGAACCCCTGCACTAGCAAGTTTCAGGCCTCCCAAGCTGAGTTCACATGACAAGCCCAGCTGCAGAAGGTTTTGTGTTCCCATGGCTGGGCAGAGGAAGCTGGACTTTCCCTCTGAACTAGCAGACTGAGAACAGGTGCTGTGTCCCCTCCATGCTTTGGACAGGCTTGTGCACAGGGCTGGGCTGCAGCCAGCCCATTCCAATCGGGAAGGACCTTGCCTAGGTCACCTTTCTCTGGGTCATTAGCTTTCTTGCCTCTGACTGGTGCCAGATTTTGTTAAATGATGATAAAATGAACATGCTTTGGCATTCCTGTTCCTTGCAGCCATTGTTAAATGGTATGTGAGGGACTGAATGTGATGCCAGGCCCAGAGCAGGTGAACAGTGGCACAGGCTTCCCCTACTGCAGTCCATGCACATTAGCACTGCCCTGCAACAGCTCCTCCTAGTCCAGCCTTGCCTCCCATTCCAAAGCTGTGCTCTTCTTTACCTCCCCTCAAAGCATCTGGCTTTGCCTTAGATGCAGCTCACTGGAGACCATTGGTGCCATTTTGCACAATGGTCAGAAGATGTCGCTTGTGAGCAACGCAAGAGCCGTCCTTCACTTGTGCTGCTCTTTGCTGGGCACCCAGGATTCCTCCTTTGGATGTGCCTGTAGTAGAGCAGTGGGTCTCCCCCGAGGCTGGCTGTCCTTTGGGAGCCGGGTGGGTGTTGTAGGCCTAGTCTGTGCTGGAGATCTGGAGCTTGCTGTGTTTGAACCCTTGTGTTTTGCAGGATGATCCAGCGGCACCAGCTGGTGCAGTCGGTGCTGCAGGAGCTGCAGGAGGCCACTGAATGCTTTGGCCTGGAGGGTCTAACCAGTGCTGTGCTAGAGGCAGAGAGAACCCTGTCCTCCTTCTCTCTGCCCAGCTACCATGGGAGGCAGCTCCAGGAAGAGCTAGAAGTTGACCGAGTAGCTAGAAGCCTCTATCCAGAGGATGCTCCCAGCAACATGCTGCCTCTGGTTTGCAAGGGTGAGGGGAACCGCCTGTTTGAGGCTGCCAGTGTGCTCTTGTGGGGGAACCCCAGCCTGAGCCTGGAGCTGCAGGTGCGCACAGTCGTGGAGATGTTACTCCACAAGCAATACTACCTGAATGGCATGATTGACTCCAAGGTGATGCTACAGGCTGCCCGTTACTCACTGTGCACGGAGGAGTCCCCAGAGATGACCAGCCTACCCATGGCCATCCTTGAGGCCATCTTTGATGCAGACATCAAGGCCACTTGTTTTCCTGGCACCTTTGCCAACATGTGGCATGTGTATGCCTTGGCCTCAGTGCTGCAGTGTAACATCTACTCCATTTACCCCATGAGCAACCTGAAGATCCGGCCATACTTCAATCGCCTCATCCGGCCCAGGAAGTGCGGCCCGCAGACGTCCACGCTCCACATCATGTGGTCAGGACAGCAGCTCTCCAAGCAGGTCTTCAAAGCCCAGTACTTTGTGGCTGTAGTAGGCCTGGAGGAGCTGGAACCCACAAGCCCCTCTCCAGAGCCTCCAATCCAGCCAGTGAAGACTCTGGAGCTGCTGAACAGTGACCCCCAGCTGACCTACTCTAACCTGCGTGACCGATACAGCATTACCAAAAGCACCTTTTACCGATGGAAGCGCCAGTCTCGGGAACACCGGCAGAAAGCAGCCACCCGATTTGCTGCCAAACACTTCCTGCAGTCGTGTTTCCAAGAGGGCAATGTAATTCCCTTGCAGCACTTCCGACAAATGTTCCCAGAAATCTCCCGCTCCACTTACTATGCCTGGAAGCATGAGATGCAGACCTTGGCCAATGGCGACACCTCTGCTTCTGCTGAAGCCACGGTGTCATGGGAGCCTCCTGGAGATGATCTAAAAAAGGCCCACATGGACGTGAATGATGTAGCAAACGTGGAGGGTGGCCTAAGGCCGAAGAGCCCTCCCACAGATCCCAACCAAGCAGGGATTTTCATGCAAGGAGCTAAGTCATACCTGGAGAAATGCATTTCCATGAACACTCTGGTGCCCTACAGGTGCTTCAAGCGCAGCTTCCCTGGCATCTCCAGGTCCACTTACTACAACTGGCGGAGAAAAGCCATTAAGGAGAATCCTAACTTTAAGCCCTCCCAGTCTCCCTCTGTCAGTCAGAAGCCCCTTGTGAAAACAAAGCCACATCAGCCAGTCAAGCTGGAAAATCTGTCTGGCAGGAAGAGACTGAATGGACACCACCCAGAGCCCAGGAGCCTCCTCCAGCTGAAGACCTCTCTCTACAACTGGAAAAAGCAACTTCGAGACATGGCGAAGAGGCATGTCCGGCAAAGACGGCTACCTTTTGGCAGGTTCCGCCTGCGCTACCCCAGCCTCTCCTCCACAGCCTACTGGTTCTGGAAGAGAAGTGGCTGGCAGCTGAACAAGCATCACTTGCCCTGGACCAGCTCATCCCAGCAGCTGAGCCAGGTCATCTCTGAAGGGCCTGGAAAAGCAGAGCCTAGGATTAAGCCGCAATTCAAAATGGAAACAGGTGTGAAGCGTGTAGAGAAGCCAGCATCTGTCACCCCCTATAATGCCACTATCTCAGGCTACACCATGTCAGAGAGAGCAAACAGCCGCATGTTTGTGATGGATGTGATTGCCACTGCCCAGTTCAAAGCTCAGGCCAAACTGTTCCTGCAGCAGCGCTTTGAGTCGAAGACCTTCCCCACCTACAAAGAGTTCAGTGCCCGTTTCCCCCTCACAGCACGTTCCACCTACTACATGTGGAAGCGTGCCTTGCATGATGGACTGACACTGGTGGATGCCTAAGGGCTGTCTTCCTACCAGGCTAGCCCAGGGCTCCCTGCTGGCTTCTGCTCTTGACTCTGTAGCTGGGACAGTGGGGTCACTGAGCCATTAGCCAGCTCAACCTATTTCATGTTTACGTTTTATTATTAATTAATCTTGTTTTATGTTGTTTTTTTTCCTTTCTCATTTTTGTTTCAGTCAGGTCTCAGGATGTGGGGGCCATGCCTGTAAAATCTCACTCCCTGCAGATAGCAAGAGTGAAACAGGGTCTCTGGGTTTGTTTTTTCTTTTTTTGTGTTTGGTTTTGTTTTGGCTGCTGAAAATGTCTCCCAGAAGAAAGAAGGAGAATGGAGTTTGTTTTCTCCTGATGCTATGGGGGAGAGGGAAGTACACTTGAAAAGGCCCCATGTTCCTTAAAGTATCACTCATGAGTAAGTGCTCCTTGTACATGGACTGGCCACGGGGTTATAGCTGCAGAGTTCCTTTCTAAACATTATATGCAGGATTTAGGGTCTTACCTGTTCCTAGCCCCTGTAAAACCAGAAATCTGTCTTCCTGATGACCAGATCCCTTTGGACAGGAGGAGAGGTACGCTGCACCAGGTACAGAGGTACCCAGCTGTCTCTGTCACTGACTGCAAGCAGAATACCTTTGACCAGACTGCAAAAGGGTGATGTGGATGCCATCTCAGACACCATGCACTGAAAGGAAGGGCATGAGCAAATCTCAGGAAGGACTAACAGCAGCCTGCCTTCCTGCCCTGGTATTATGTCCTCTTGGTTCAGGAGGGATGGACTTTAGCTTGAGGGGCAATAGTGACCAGAGCTGGAGGGGTTGGGGGAGCACTATATTTTGTGGTTTTTAGGTCAGCGAGTTCTTGTTTCTGGTTTTGCTGATCTGTTCTTGTTCTGCTTGTAGTTGTGGAAGATGAGGCTTCCTAGTGCTCCTTACTTGGAGCAGAGATCTGTTCATATTTCAGTAATCAGGAAGGATTGCAGCTATGTAGATAGGGGCCTAATGGACTTGTGCTATCCAAGCCTGTGTCTTTCAGGCTCTGCAGACAAGTGACATCCCTGAATTGTCTTCTCTTAACTACATGCTCTCTCCCAGTGGATGCATGCCTTTTTGTATTCTTGACAAGTACCACTTTCACAAGGAAGGCTAGCCAGATGTCCCAACTGCTGCAGTGGGGTGGAGAGACAGTACCCTTGGCCTAAATGAGAAGGGTGAACTCTACTTCCAGCATATCTTGCTCTGTGAATGTGGGAAATGTCTCCATATGGCTGAGCTGCAGAGCCATGGCTATAGTGAAGGTGAATGTGCATGTGTGACTTATAGGAACGTAAAGCAATAAAGGCCCATCCATTCCCATGCCTGTCTGGTGTCTGTGTCTCTCCCTATTTTCTTAAACATCCTCTACTGGCCAATTTATTTACCTCCAGTAATATTAATTATTTTCATGTTTGTTTTAAAGCAGATCTGATGCCAGTGCAATCTTCTGAACTGCAAAGTTCTGTTTCACTAGGGTCCAGTGCAGAGTCATAGCTAGCAGCATTTGTGCCATGGGCAAACCTTGTAGGAGATAGAGGTGTGGGGGGGGAGGTTTGGGAGGCTGCTGCTGAGCTCTAGAGGGGAGGAGGTGCCAGGAGCTGAGGGTGTGTGGTTGGGCAGGAATCTTACCTGTTGCTGCAATGGTGTCTGCCCTGCCCTGTTGTTGCTGCTACAGCAGCAGTGTAGGTCTCTGCCCATGTCTGCACGAGGAGGGGATGCTATTCTGGTGCCCTGATTGCCTACCCCTAGTCCAGTGGAGAAAGCAGTGGACTAGTGCTTCTCCTCTGCTGCCCCATACAAGCTCTGCTGCTGTATACCTCACTGTCCCTTGAGTTTTTGTGCTATCATCTCTAGGAGGAATATAGTACTTTGTGCTCCTTTGCTTTTTCTCCTGAGCACTGGCAAGGAGGGAGGCAGTTGTCAAGGCAGCTCTATGGTTTCTGAATATTTGTGTGCCAAGAAATGCACTGATTCCCATTGCCTCACTTAGGTGAATGGTTGTTGGACACCTAACAAGAGGCAGAATCAAAGATCACAGTGATCTGTTTTTTGTCCCAGTATGAAGTAGTGTTGCCTCCCAGACCACAGAGACAAAGAATAAAAATTGCACATCACTACTGGGTTGCACCAGATTCAAAGTTGGTGACCCAAGAAGCAGTCGGGTCTGCATTCAGATCAATGATAACTTTTCTACAGGCTGAATTAGAAGCTGGACCAGGCCCTGGCAACTGCATGGCAAGGCAGTCCCAATTCTCTTGCAGCACTAGAAATGGGAGCTGGGATTTGCCTTGGTACCTGGTAGAAAGGAGGTTTCCCACCCATTTTAGGGCAGACCCTCGCCAGTGCAGAGCTACCTGAGGTCTGTGGATCTACTATGCTGCACTGATTCACAGGTGCAAAGGTACTGGCACTTTACACTTGTACCCAGAGGCCTGTCTCATGCTCAGGGTCTTGTTCACTGAGTACTGCGTAAACAAAGGTGAAGAGATGGCTCTTGCACCATAGAGTTTACAGCCCAGAACATGCACATCATCAGAACAAGCAACTCAAGTGTGTGGGTGCAGTTTGCAAAGGGTTGGGTGAGGGCAATCTGTTTTTCTTTCTTTTTTCCCCTTTAAAAAATCCAGTAAAAGGCTGGAAATGTGATGATGAACCTGTTGGTTTCTTATTTCTGGAGAGAACTGGTGAAATCTGACGGGGTCCAGCAGGTGGCACTCTGCTCCAGTGAGCCTGTGGATGTCCTGTAATTGAATGTTGAAGCAGCCAGCTCCCTGCTAGGTGGTCCAAGCATATAGGACAATCTTGCCCCTTATAGGCAGACACCAGTGTGGGGAAAAACAGAAAAGCCTGCAGCCTTCCTCCCCTGGGAATCCTCATCACTGGAACACTGACCACATCACCTTGCTTTGCTCTGTCACTGGGTCTTTCATACAGGGAAGTTCATGGGTCAGTGACTGCAGGTCCAAAGAGCCTGAGCAGATTGCCCCAATCCCTGCTAGGACCTAGCTCTGAGTGGCTGCCTCTGATGGGGCCAATAGGCTGTTTCTAATGGGACTGCAGTGGGATACCAGCCTGGGCTTAAAGGAAGGGAGAATGAGGTGAGGTGCACATCCTTCTCCCCATCCTGTGCTAAAAATAGAGCGCCTTTCTTTTTTTTTTGCCTGTAGGAAGCATTCCCATTCAGCTCCACTTCCCTTTGGGTGCTGTAGTGATGGGAAATAAGGGGGCACAGAGCCCAAAGTGAGTGGCCCCTCTAGTATCAGTTACACTGTAGCCCTAGCCCTACAGCTCTTGAGACCCTAGATCAGCTCAGATAGTCCTGTCTGGGGGAACGGGCATATGCCTGCTCTTTCTCTCCAGAGCCTTTGTAGAGTACACAGTGGCCGTGGTTAGGGCCTGTGGTACACTGTCCCCCTTTACTTGTTTTCACACCTTTCCTGTCTCTCCTGGCAGGTCCCACCCTCTTCTACTCCCAGTGGCCTCCTAGTAGCAAAGGCAGTTCTAGCTTGTTCCTGCTCCTGTCACCTTAAGGAAAACCTGTAGGAAAATCTGCACTTGTGCAGATCAGGCAGTGCCAGAGCAAGGGGGAGGTGAGCAAGGCAACTGCCCCAGGCACTGAAGCAAAGGGGTGCCAACAGGTGCTGCCCAGCCAGGGCAGAGCACAGGACGGAGCCATGAGTGGCTTGTTGGAGAGGGGGGCACACAGGGACAGGGGGAGGGCAGCTTTCACTGCTGCATGCACTCCCGGGCAAGCATGGGCCAGGGGTGTGTGCCCCCAGATCTGTGCGCGGGGTGAGGGTGGGCTGCCACTGCGGGCTTTGCTCCGGGCACCAAATGTCCTTGCCACAGCACTGAGATCAGGTAGAGAGGAGGCCATGGGAAAAGGGGGGGGGGTGTTTTCAGATCCAAGGGACTTATCTCTACTGCTTGCCCTGTCTTTGCTAGCAACCCCCCACCCCAGTGCCTTTCTTTCCTTGGAGAATGAGAGAAGACCAAGGCAGCCTCTCTGCATCAGTCAGTCTGATATTGATGAGATTACCACAACTGAGGAAAATTCAGGCTTTAATGGTAGCAATGAAACAGAACAGAGATCTCTGCTGCCTTGATGGGGAACTTAGCTGAATCATACAGCTTACTCAGAAAACATTACCAAAAAAAGGGCAGTTCACTGTCTGAGCCCATCACACCTGCAGCTCACTGTCTAAGGCTTACCCAGTCCTGCCTTCCTCTATCTTCTATGCCAGTGTTTCTCAACCTTTAAGTAGCAAGTACCCCCTAACTTCTGAAAATTGTAATAAGTACCCCAACACTCAATTTTCCAGGGGATTTTATATTTACAGACTAATGTGTGCTATAGGTTGGAAGAAGGGCTGTGTATGACAGATGTCTGATTAGGTGTGGGTAGGGTTGCCACCTTTTACACCAGGGATGCACAACTCAAGTATGTACCTGGGCTAGAGGTAATGTCGGCTGAAGGAGAGCTGAACCCAGTGCCACGCAAAGAATGGCACACCAAATTATTACTGGGGAATTTAATTTTTTTGAATTGCACCAAGTTTTTTGCCATCATTTTGAGAGGAGGAAGGGGCGAGAGAGGAAAAGAGGGCAAGAGGGACAGAGCGTTGGGGTACCCATGTACCCCCAGGGGTACATGTACCACAGGTTGAGAAACTACATTCTATGCCTTGCATAGCAGCAACATTACCCCTGTAACTGCAATGTTCCTCTTCCCACCCCCATTCCTGGCAGAGGGGCACCTGCTTACCAGGCTGTAGGTGCTGTAGCACTGCACTGCTTCAGTCTTTGTGTCAGAGTGGTGGGCTCCTGGGTTATCCCCTGGGGTTCAACCTGCAGTTTGGTCCATGAGGAAAAGCAGCTCTTCATAATCAAGAATGTGTTCTGCCCTCCAGCCTACCAGTGGATGGATGCTATAAAACCTTCTTGCACAGACAGCTGGGAACTGGAGAATGGAGGCAGTATGGGTAGCATTTGGGATCCAGTGAGGATGGAGATATGTGGTCCCTAGCCAGGAAGGATCTGGAATCCAGTGAAGGGATGGACTACTGTACACTCTTAATTGCCTCTTGATCACTGGGCCTGTGTGTGTTGAAAAGTAATTGGCGTAATTAGCTCCCAGTGACTTTTCACCAGTGAATTTCTCCAAGGGAGCAAGCTGGTAATTACTCCAGAATGATTATCCATGTCCATAAACTGTGCCTGGAGGCTGTGAGATCAGCTGTTTTCGTCAGCAGCAGTAGTTGTAACAGCAGCTGTGAAATTGGCAGCCAGACTCTTAAGTGGCCTTTTCCCTCAGCTGGAGGAAGGCAGTGCACAAGAGCACTTTCCCTGATGTGCTGGTACTGACAACGTCCAGCTTCAGACCCTCACCAGCAGAGCTATGTCTCGCTGAGGAGATCAGGACACAGGACTGGCCACTGCAGACCAGACCAGTTACTCCATCTGCCTCTCTTACCCATCTCTGAGAGTGATCAGAGGCTTCAGAGGAACATCCAAGAAATTCAGTATGGACAATTATGTTCACAGGGGAAGATTGTTATCAACTTCCATCGGTCAGTGGTTGCTTTGCTTCTGAAGCAGGAGGATAATATGACTAATCCTCACTGGGGATGGCTGCATTGCCCTTGTCTGAGCCTTTTTAGACCCTGCTAAGTTCTAGTTGTCATTGACACCTTGCAGTATATGTTACTGCAAACTAATAATCCCTTTAATCAGGAACTGGTGCTTCCCCCTGCCCACAGCCCTGCACACTCCCTGTTGTGCAGACTCTGAGGGGAGGGGGAGAATCATGTGGCCTAGGTTGCCCTACACCAAGTCTTCCTGGGGGCCAGCGTAAAGGGGGCATTGGGGAATGGACCATGGAGCCCACAGTTTAAGTTAAGATGTGTTACAGTTCCTAGAAAAATGGAGCTGGTAGGTGCCTCAGGAGCTCAGGTCAGCTCATGCAACCCTCTGCTTGAAGCAGGTGCATTCCCATCCAAACAATCCCAGACAAATGCTTATCCAACCCACACTTAAAAGCCACCCAATGACAGAGACTGCCCAACCCCTCAAGCTAAGCTATTCTAATGTTTAAATCACCATCTGGTTAGAAACATGTGAAAACCAGATTTCTTTTCCACACTAACTAGTTGTTGATTCAGTTCCCAGCTCCTGCAGCTCTCCCTTTGCACAGGCTCCTTCAGACTTCTTTCTAGAGCAGGCCAGCGTAGAGCTCTTATACTAGGACTGCTGGAGGGCTGCAGTCCTTTGTCCTGTGATGAAGAGGCTGGAATTGCTGCCGTCATGGTTATGTGACCAGC